AACGCTTTATTTAAAATTTTGTCAGAACTTACATAGTTTTAGAAGAGCAATCTTAATTTAAGAAAATACGATAGCAGTAGGTATAATCAATTGTTATCGGTGCATTCACTTTTCAGGAAGCTAACCAACCCGGTACTCGCCAGTTCTCAGAAGAAGATCTGAAAACCATTCCGAACGTCGTTGGATCTCAACGACAAACAATCGGTGAGCTCTTAGCAAACGTCATTGGATCACCTGGGGAGAACATGGCCATTCCTCGAGGCATAGGAATGGCTCTCTCAGATGATAAAGCCAACGAACTCAGCCACCTCATTGCTTATTGTCATATGAGCAATGCTGGGATCAAGAAAGGCTTTCGTAATGTCGTTTTCGGCAAATATATCGCCGTACTTCGATATCGACACTTGAACAATCAGAAAGGAAGTGCCGCTTGGCAGGAACACTCTTCTCGATTCACTCAACAGTTGTGCCAACACAGTGTCGGAATGAATCCGTGTAGAAACCTTTCTCTTGAAGCTATTCCACAGACGGAAAATCCGGATGAGGAAAAGTGCCTACTTCGGCAGCCGTTCCTTTTCGATGGATTAGTCGCTGTTGGAACTCTGTTGGAGAAAAATGAAATCCTCGTGGAAGATTTTGTTCGTGTGGAGTGTGGCGTTGAAGAAGAGGAGTGAGAAGTACCCCTTGATGCACCTTATTTCTGTCTGTACCTAGATTTCTGTAGCGTAAAAGTTGACATCATTTTCTGTCTCACTTGACTTTTGTTTGATTGTGCCATTATTAAAATGCTTGAAGTAGCTTTATTGGTGATTATCAACCGGTGGTCATGGAAACACATACATGAATACTTAATTGACATTGTTAAGAAGCCGAATTAAACATTTTCGATGATCTCAGACTTGGATATGTAGGACCACTGGTAAAACTCCATTGCTGTCAATAGTAGCCCATCAGTCAATCAAGTATTTAACCCACATTCCTTTCTAATTGCGCGCATTTCGTTCTCAAGCCTGAAGGATTGTAGCTCCCTAAGGTAATCAACTGAGCAATTCATGGAAATGCCGATGCAGTCACTTACGAGCACAAAACAATGGCTTATTACATTCGAGTAGTTTCAGACTCACCAAAAACAAGGCTCAAGCAAATCTAGTGGGAACACTGGTGGGAAGGTGCTTCTTTTATCGGACAACCTACGTTCGCTACCCAACATCAGGTCTAAGCTAGCCTATTTGGCTCACGGAGATTTCCAAAACATACGAGAGGGTATTCTACCTTCTAAAGGACTGACGTTTTCCATGGAGACGCCGTAAACAGGACTCTAGATAAACACAAAGGGCCAATGCGATGAGTTTTGGTGGTATCAGGAGAAGGCTAAAGATGCGTTGGAAATGTTTCAAACGGCAATACCGTCGCTTCCAGTACGAGTCTAGTACCAAAGGAGCTTATATTGAAAGAGAATTGCGCTAATGAATCAAGCAGGGAAGCCTTCCCCTGTTATTTGCATAGACCGACACTAAAACCAAGTCCAGTTTCGGAGAAGCATGAAACTATTTAAATAAGTGAAGATGTCACGTTTATAGTGGGTTAAGTAAATTGCGATTTTAAGGCTTATTCTTGAATTTGACTTTAGAAGACATGGAACAGAAGGGTGCGTAGGATTCTTTCGAAATGCTTGAACAATTTGCTAGAAATTGGGCCGACATGGCATTAATACCTTCCAGTTTTTCAATGGTAGCAAATTTGAGAAAAGATGTGTCAGCTTTTAAAAAAATCTATTCCTTGAGCTGGAATTAGTGCAGTGTGGAATAATCGACCTTGCAATCTGACTATTGAGTTCAGCTCAATCTTGAAGTGGGCTTATCTGAATATAGACATCAATTGAGGCAACCTCTATCTACATCAGACTCAGTGTTACTCATGGGCTGCATTCCGAATTGTCATAGTATCTTTTCCCCCTGGGTCGAAATGCCTCACTGGGCTTAAGAATCTACATAAATTATATACTTTTGAAGTCAGTAAATCTTCTAATATCCTAACATTTAATCTACGCTTCTTATCTTATTACGTTCTGTAGTCAGAATTGTACTTAAGCCAATTTAGTAGTTATTATTTCTTTCTATTTATGAGTGAGATACAGATAAACCTGTCTTCATCTTAGTTGCATTTCGATAACTTTACGGCTATAATTTACCCGTGGCTATCCACTCATTCAAGATGGCAGATACTGGCAAATGTTTAGACTTGTGAAAACATTTATTCATCAATGAAAGAATGAGCAACTCCACGGTACCTCAAATTCTATTGGTTCATTAATCTGACATTTTCAAGCCGTCATTTATTCTCACATCAGCGATTTATTAATAATTAACAATGAAGTTACTTTGAGATCAATTAGTTCTCTCTACTTTCAACCCGATTTTGTTTTCAATTGAATTAACATTGATAGAGGGTAGTGGGAAACCCCACAGCTTATCCTTCAACTGAATTGAGATGGTTATATTATTCCATATGGGGTATGCTATAGACTTACCTCCACGTGGTGCACCCTGGACTGCGTATACTCACACGGAAAATGTCCATAAACAGGCAGTTGACTTCTGACTTCTAACCATGACCCCACTGTATGCTATATTCGACCACTTCCACAGCAATAAAATCGTCTATTATAAAATTTGCAATTATATTCCATTTGACTCGAACAGCTGGTGTTAATCAAAATGACTTTGGGGTAAGCTGAGAGAGTTTTACTTAATGTAGGTCAATTCAATAATTAAAATTTATTCAAGGAGGTCAATAGGGGGTGAAGGGGGGGGGAGGTAAACACATGTTCTATGATGACATTTTAAATTCGCATTTATAGATATCCAATGTGGTCAGTTGAATAAATTGAGACAACAATAAAAAGTTCTTAATGGTGGTAAAATTGATGAAATACTCAATCGGCGACAAAATCAAATCAGATAATATTTTCACTTGAGGTGCGCGATAGACTTACCTCCACGTGGTACACTCTGGACAACGTATCTTCGTACGGCAAAATAGTCTATCACTCGGCATTTGATTTGTCTCCTATTTATTATGATTAGCTTGAAACAATACTCTAAGAGAAATCGCCCTGGTCAGGGCGAATCATAAGGTCTTCAGATCCTCCAGTGGAATGCTGGAAGGATGTCACAGGACAAAAAGATCCAAGTACAGAAAATCCTACACACCTATGATGTAGACATCTTCACAGTTATGGAAGCAAACATTTCGGAAGACAAACTGAAGTACTACCGATTCCCAGGTTGCACAATGTACAATCTACCTAAATACTGGCAAGTTGCAAGTGGAATTCTGACTGGAGTAAAAGAAGGCCTCACCTCACACTACGATCTAATCAAGAGTATGGGCTTGACAAAAGACACATGTGAAATAATCAGATTAAATGTTTGGAAATGTCAAAACAACTTCAAGATATATGCAGTCTATAATCCACCCCAGAACTGTCCCAACTTTGATTTTCTGACTTCTCAAAAAAAACTGTAGTACTAAGCGACTTCAACGCCCATTCCACCAGATGAGGCTATAAGAAAGCAAACATAGCTGGAAAGGAAATCGAAGACGTGCCAGCTACAAACATAGCCACATAGCTGGAAAGGAAATTGAAGACATGCTAAACAGCAAACCTCTGGAACTTATTTACAGCACATGCTAAAAAGCAACATTCTGGAACTTATTTATAGCAATGAATCGAAGACGTGCTAAAAAGCAACCCTCTGGAACTTATTTACAGCAATGAGGATCCGGCTACATATTTGTACTACAATGGAACCAGAACAACTTCTGACTTGCTCCTGGTTTCAAGCGATATCAGTGAGCAAACACGCCGCAAAATAATTGACGATCCTGGTTTTGGTCACAAACCAGTCATTGATAGTATTACCATCGGTAGCAAAAGCATGACAAGGAAAGCGCCAACTAAGCTATCATGGAACTTCAAGAAGGCTGACTGGCCTAGATTCACAACACATCAAAGATGCTCTTGATGCAAGAAATACCCTTACGGCTGTTTTCGTCGATTTCAAATCAGCATATGACTTAGTATGGAAAGAGAAGCTAATTCTAAAATTGGCAAAGATTGGTATTAAGCACAACATGCTAAATTGGATAAAAGCATTCATTGGACAAAGATCATGTAAAGTCAGATATGGAAATGCTCTATCAAAATCCAATCTTTTACAAACAGGCCTTCCACAGGGAGCAGTCACAAGCTGCACTCTTTTCAATGTCTTCATCAATGACGTAGCCGAATTGGTACAGACAGTCACGGGCATCAAGTGCTTACTTTATGCAGATGATCTTGTTCAAAGGTATTCCACCTCTATGAATAACTCTCAGGAGAGGACGGAAAGTGCCCTAAATTTTGCACTTAAACTACTAGCAAACTGGTGCGACAACAATGGAATGGTAATCAACACCGCGAAAACTGCATTCCAAACATTTTTCTTTGGCCCGTCACAGCATTAACCCTCTTCTAAGATACAAGGATGTTACCCTAGAAAAAAAAACCAATGAGTTCACATATCTCGGAATGACGTTTACCACTAAGCTAACGTGGAAAGTCACATTGCTAAAATAGCAGAACGAGTCTCCAATATTTTTAATGTGCTGAAGTGTCTTGCTGGTAGCGTATGGGCCTGTGCACGCTCAACTCTCNGAGATAAAGGAATGTAGAAAACTCTATGAGCTGCTAAGAGAGAAAAACAAAACAGTGTTCCTACAATGGATTCCTGGTCACTGTGGCATTAAAGGCAATGAGCTTGCTGACACAATTGCTAAGAAGGGGACAACGATTTTGCAATGCATGGACCGGCCCATGTCTTTCCACACAATGAAGGCCTTAATCAGAAGAGAATTCAAGACCTCAAGGTGTAACGAAATTAAAATCTCGAACAAAGGAGAAACAGTGGACAGTGGCACTCTCCGACATACCCGACTGACCAAGAATCGAAGCCGTTGCTGAGTTTAGACTACGTACCGGACACGATTGCTTGGCAAAACACCTTCACAGATTGGGAGTATACACTCAACCCACATGCCCTCTATGTAAACTACAGGAGGAAATGGAGAAGACCCACGTAATTCGATGTCCAGCCATAAAGACAAGGACGGAAAGACAGATACTGGGAAGCAAGAAGACAGCTAATGAACTGCTATTCATTAACTGCTATATATGTACCCCCCACCCTTGGGGGAAGCTGAAGTCAAAGTTTAAGAGCTGATGATAAATATCATAAAGCCTGCCATTTGAAATAATAATTATTATTATGAGTGATTTTATTGCAGAAACATCATTATTCCTAGCGACAGGGCTATATTTAACTAAAATTTTCTTCTCCATAGATGTCTTGGTAGTCAGTAATAAAGAGTAAATTAGTACTTTTAAATATTTACTGTTCAAAAGCATTTTTCTGTAATATTTGTTTTTTGGGGTGTGCGTGATGCACCCTGATTAACGTATTCCCATACGGCAAAAAAGTCTTTCAAACCGGTAGTTGACTTCTGACTTCGAACTACCATGACCTGTAGCGAATTGCTACACTAATAATGTCGGACTGACTCAGAAATCTCTGTGGCAGATTCTCCTGCATCTAGCTAGACTCCCAGAACTAGCTAAGCTATAGCCCAGCTATAGAGGAAACAGACGTATAGCACGGAACACGTATATTCAGTCACACAGCGATAAGAAAAGTGTACACGTAAGTAACTTAGTCATATTCAGCTTTGCTGCTTAGTTTTAAATGCATGTCGGCTTCTGATTGGTCACTCGTATTACCCTTGTCTGCGCGGAAAGTTATACGGCCGCACGTCCTAGTAAGGGCACGCGAAAATGCGATAACGTGTCCCACACCCCACTGTATGTCCTATTCGACCCCTTCTACTGTAAACCGGCAGTCGACTTCTGACTTCAAACAACCATGATCACCATTGTATGTCATATTCGATCACTTTCACCCCACTGTATGTCTTATTCGATCACTTCCTCCATACTTAAAAAAGTCTTTTACCGGCAGTTGACTTCTCACTTCAAACTACAAAAGTCTTTTACCGGCAGTTGACTTCTCACTTCAAACTACCAAGACCCCACCGCATTTCAAATTCGAATAATTCCACAGTAGACTGTATGTCATATTCGACCCCTTCCACAGTACTCATAATGACCCGACTGTATGTCATATTCGACCCCTTCCACAGTTCTCATATTCTGTATGTCATATTCGACCACTTTCACAGTACTCATCTTTACTTTTTTCTACCTTTGTGTCTGTCTGTCTCTTTTACGTCTCTTTTTCTCTGCCTTTGTGTCTGTCTGTCTCTTTTACATCTGGGAATCATTATTCTGTCCCTCCTCTCGACTTTTACTCACTTTGATGTTCCTCCTCCTCTCTGTGAAGCCCGAAGTCAGCTAAATGGCCAATAATAACTTTCAAAACACCTGCCATTTGAAATTAATTAATATTTGTTTTAGAACTTAGTAGTATTCACGTGTTGCTGTTCAGAGGTTTCAGGTTTTCTTGCGCTAGGGTTGCACTGTCCTATTCTATGTACTTTGCCGATGGCTTTAATATGATAATTGTGCTTAAATAAGTTGATTAACTATTGTCGCCAGGCGAAATTTCAACCCAACTGCAGACAAATTCTTTGTCTTCTTCTTTGAACAAAGAAGTTTCAATTGCACAGTATGGAAAGTTCGTCTGTGTTAATAATTGCGTAAGGAGCAAGTGCGCTCATGAGTGCAGAGACTCCTTCGTCAATCAGCAGTCGCTGTAACGTAGAGTAGCAATAATTGTATTTAATTAGAAAAGCTTAGTGTCAGTCGTAAACGCCATTCTCTCCGTGCGTTCTGTTTACGCAATACTGTTGAGGTATCTCGGTCAACCTCGCCAGAAGTTTCATACCAATGATTTGGCCACAGAGATAGTTGACATTGTGTCTATAATCGGGTGTTGGTTTAGCCATCCGTGCATATTATTATTTGGCGGAGAGTGTTTAGCAGCTCAAGATAAAATGGAAAATTGATAATTGAATATTTGCATCGAATGGTTCGAGTGGACATGACCAGTAGTCACTAGAAGATTAGAAAAAAACTATTAGTGGATGTTAATCAGGTTCAACCAAGAGGTTAAAGGCTTTAAAAAGTTCCTTGTAACAAACATCCAATATGCACTTCGTACTAGATGATCTACTGAACAGGAGATCCCTTCTGAAACAGCAGAAATTCTAGGGGTCATCGACTATTGGCATTGAACACTGTCTGCC